TATAAATTAGTATCATAAAATTTTAAACCTTTTTTTTATTTAGTCTTTGAATTACGACTATTTTACTAATCTATGTTTCTGTTCAGTTATTGTTAATTTACTAATAGACTTATAATGTAACATAGTCTTAACATTTAATTTGTTTGATATATGCACCATTCACTAAATTATTCAGTTAAATACTTATTGTATATATTTTAATTATTAAAAATTATATATATATATATATATATATATATATATGGATTTTATAAATATTCCTATATTCATCTTTCGATTTTCGTGCTGACTTGGGTCATATATATATATATATATATATATATATATATGGGAAGTCCAAATTAAATCGGAACAGTGATCAGAATATCACTGTTCACCAAGTTTTTTTATCTAAATGCCATGCGAACAGTGTTATTTTTCAATATGCCACGTGGGCAAGTTCGCTGGGCACTGTAGCGAACTCAGTGTTGACGTGTCGCGTTTTAAGTGGACACCAAGTTCGCTACACGGGGTAGCGAACTTGGTACTATTTTTTTTTTTAACTTGGTACTTGTTATCCACTAGAAATGTGACACGTCACAAACAGAGTTTGCTACAGTGCCCAGTGAACTTGCCCACATGGTATATTGGGAAATAACACCGTTCGCGTGACATTTAGGTAAAAAACTTGGTGAAAAGTGACATTTTGATCGGTGTTCCAATTAAATCTTTTGCAAGGGATATCTCCATTAATGGATTAAATGACAAATCACAATAAGTAGACTGACACTTCAAGTGAGAGGCCCAATATCATATTTCCCCTTAAGAGCAACTTTTGTGAAAGTCTTTTCTCTTTAAGTATTGAAGGCACTTTAACTTGTTGCAAATGCCTCTTAAATGCATCGTCACCTTCAAATAGTCGCACAGTCATCGTTAACTGATACCACTTGAGAATGATACAGGGAGTCCAAAACCTTTTAGGTATGATACGTCCAATCATCCACTAATGAATCAAATAACAAATCACAATAAATGGGTTGACACCACATCTCAACTTAAAACTTTAAGACTGCAGGTCTATCTATTTTTCGCACTTAATTATAAGGTACTTACTTGACTCAATTCTAACTGACGTAGGACTTTATCACAACTCATATTTGAATATTTTCAACAATAATAACTTAAATAAAAATATATAATAAATTGAAAGATTAAAACATGGAACGAATATATATTTATTTTAATATTTTTTATAATTTTATTTTTTAATTCAATTTAAAATATATATAATACTGGTATTAAGATTTAAAATATTTCATTTAAAATATTAATAAAGATCTGGTTATTTATTTAGTTATCAGTTTATACTTTCTATTAGTTAGTAGTAATTTAAATAATTGTAAATTATATATCGATAAATGCGTAATACTAAAAATGTAGATCAAATAATATAATACCCCGAAACTTTTAATTATTGAAATTGATATTCAAATAAATATTTATTTAATATTTTAATTACTTACATTACTATATATTTTATATTTTATCTCCCCGACTGAAATACAATATATTTCTTAAGCTTTTTGAAGCTTTTAATAAAGTTCTGTAACCAAGTATCATTTTTCAACAAAAAAGGCATTAGCTATTTACTCAAATTAATACAAATAGAAATATTGAATTCCTATGTTTCCTAAAGGTGGAGGTACACCCTACGGTTAAAGCACTGAGGTCCTACTCAAATCCCATCTAATTAAACTGAGAAAAGTCTATGGAAGAGGGGATAGGCTAACGCTCCTTTAAAATCCCATTTAATTAAAAAAGGTTTTTATAACGAAGGTTTGCTTTCTTTCCTTTTTTATTATTTTTAAAAAATTTGGTATCAGTAATCCACTTTAATTGCTGAATGACCATGAAACAGCTTTCAAAGGGATTCTCAAAAGTCAGAGTAAACTGGGATTAGATATCCACTTCCAATGCGTACAAGATATATAAAGTTCTGATGTTAAAAAAAAAAGATATATAAAGTTCTTCGTGTGCCATAAAATAACAAATGGAACTGTACGACTATATCCATAGGCCATGGTGCAAGTATGCAAATTTGTGGCTCCCTAATCCCTATTACTCCTTCATAGGTAGTTTGCCAATTTGGGCTAATTTCCGATAATGGGTCTTGAAACTGCTTTTGACTACGACTACGAGTGTGTTCTAGACTTCTAGTTCAGTTTTGTTTTTGTGGGTCAACATGTTCATTTGTTTGCATAAAACACGCCCTATGTAGATTTTAGGCTCCTTGTCGCTAATTTATATACTTCTCAGCCTCGCTTTTTCATTTATTAAATATTCGATGTTATTAATTTTGTTTTGAATGATCTAAATTAATTACACTTCTAGGTTTTTTACTGTTATGAGATTTACTCACACGTGTCGGAATAATTTTAATTAAAATAAAAGTATGATATTAAATCATTTAGTACCAGTTTAGATGGACTTTTTAAAAAAAAAAAAGATTATATTTTTCAAAAAAGTTTTTTTTTTTTGAAATTTTTTAAATGTTTGGATAACAACTTTTAAAAAAGTCAAAGTTTAAAATAAAAGTTAAAATATTATTTTTTTTAGCCAATAGTTAATTGCTTTTGAAAAAAGTATAAACTAAAAGATAAGACAATTTTTTAAAATACAATTTTAACATCATCTTAACATCCTCATTATCCCTCCTTATCTCACTATTGTCGTTTTTTTATAGTTAAAAGTCTTCCAACAAACTATCATTTTACAATCAAATCTCCATCTCCTTGATTTTCATTCCTACCAACTCTGTATCTTTATAGGGCTTTTTTTTCCCCCTGCAAACTTTCACCTATAGAATCGCATATTTGTGACCAGCGAAAAATTTGGATAGAGATTCGAATGAAGTACAATAAACCCGGTCCGAATAAATACAATAAAACTAAAAATTATAATTTGATTATATGATCCGCTGCTATGAAAACTCAAAAAATTTTGCTAGTGCGAACCGGTAAAACCCGGTCGATTTTGGTCAAAATAACCCATCCGAATGAAGTAGTGGATCAGCCAAACAATAGAACTAGTGTGAACCGGTTAAACTCGGTCGATTTTAGTCAAAATTGGTGACCCGACTGGTTGAACTAGTGACCTGATTCATACAAAAAAAAACAATTAAATGCTTATAAATTTAACAAGATCATTTCAGGTTTTTTTTTAAAAATTTAAGAAGTTTATAAAATAAGATAATATTATAATTAACAGAAAAAATTAATGAATCGTCAAGATTTCATCTGGATTTCATTTATGGTAGATGTTAAATGTTTGAAAACATATCAAATATTGTGTATTTTTGTTTATTGGACAATGTTGTGTGATTTATTATTTTTATATTAGAATATTTAGAACTTGTATAATTTTTTACAGGTATTTAAGTATACTTATAATTTTTTAATATAGATTATAGAATATATATACTTACTGTGTCATGTGGTTCGACCAATGACTCAGTACCTCGACCGGATCAATAACCGGATCAAGTCTAAGAATACAATATTTTTATTTAAAAAATATTTTTCATATTCTCACTATAATAGTTGGCTTAACATCTAAATAATTTTTAGACTATTTACATGCTAAAATTAAGAATCTGGATTAAGCATTTTGCATGAAGAGAAAGAAAATCGTTGAACGTGAACAATATGTTATGAATTTATTTAATTAAATACGACTTTTTATTAAAAAAACACAATTCATATTTTCTTCACTGTTATTGGCTTAACAATTTTTTTTTAAATGGTCCAAATAAAAAAAAACACTATAATATCACATAGGATGCAATTGGGCCGGGTTAATAAGATACGTAAGTCCAAATCAATTAAAAAACATCAATTTGAGTTGGTTTGGGTTTGATAATTTTTTTGGACAATTTGAACCGAATCAGCTCGATCAAATTCTGATCGGTTCATATTGGGTCGGTATGTATTAATATATATTTTAGATAAATTTGATATAAAAATAAAAAACATTAAACAAAAAAAAAATACATCGGATCAGGTCGGGTTGAATTTAGTAGGTTTTATTTCCATGACCCAAGACCCGACTTGACAAAAGTCGAGTTCATCTCCTCGTTCGAACCAAAATGACTACAGTTTTTTTTTTTTTTTTCTGGAGTTACCCAACCCTAATTACCTCTTTGAGGCGAGTTGGCTCCCTCCAGTATCTCCACAAGCTTCGACTATTTGAGCCGGCTATGAGACTAATCCGGAGTGCGGGAGTCAGTGATGGCTAAAGGTTCAGCTCCCTCCCCAAGGAAAAACCAACTTCTCCTCTTAGATAATCAAGGAAAAACCTTTTTTTATTAAGAGGATTAGGTTCAATTAACAGGATCTGACCTTGCGAGTACGCAAAATCATTAAGGCCCATAAAAAAGTAGAACACATACTCCATATAAGCATGGTCCAGCTTAAGGCTTCACACTACCATATGAAGGCGGGTATGGATTGGGCTTGATATATATATATGACCCTTTTGTACACAAAAATAATAAAAGATATATATGAACCTCAGGCGCTTAGGCCTTTCCTAATGATTTCTTAATATTTGATCTTTAACAGTTGTCCTGAAAAGGATCAATATGCATCCATACATTGTTTAAAATTTATCTCTGTAATTAGCTGTAGCATATTCTTTAAAAATATCATCGTTTATTAACCTCTAGAAACCGGTATACATTGTTGGAAGCTAATCAAATGTCTTCTAATGCAGGACCCAAAGTGATATCCAAGAACATCTTGACAAACTTATTTTGGACTAATCTTGATAGTTTATTTTTCATTGGAAAACTTTCTTGCTCTTTTCGCCTATACTTGACAAACACCGTACTATGTAATTTTGCCGTCTACACTTTGGCCAATGCATTGTTTATTTTCCTAAACATCCTTCAAACCTCAAAATGTCTATATATAGCTGCATTCTCCACTTGCTCTATGCATCATTCACAACAACACTTTTTTAACATGGCTAACTCCAAGTCCAAACTCCTCCCAACTCAAAACCTCTTCTCTGCTTTCCTAATGATCTTCATATTTTCCCTCTTGTTAATTACAAGTGTGAAATCAGATTCACTTTCTTTCAGCTTCCCCACTTTTGAGCCAGGTGTTAGAAATATCGTTGTCGACGGTGATGCCAACACAACCGGTGGAATATTACAACTGACTAATAAGGGTCCAGTAACTCAACACAGTGTTGGGCTAGCTGGATTCTTTGGAGCAGTTCATATCTCTGACAAAAGCAGAGGGAGGAATGCAGAATTTGCCACCGAGTTCTCGTTTATTGTGAACCCTTTGGGTTCACGATCTCATGGCGATGGGTTCACCTTCTTTATAGCATCAATCGATTTTGATTTCCCAGACAATTCAAGTGGTGGATTCCTCGGACTTTTCAATGAAAAAACAGCCTTCAACATCTCCAAAAACCAAATCGTTGCCGTTGAGTTCGATAGCTTTAGAAATGATTGGGACCCCATATTTGCAAATTCTCCTGATCAATCTCATATAGGAATCAACATCAATACCATTAGGTCGGTGGAAACTACGCCATGGCCACTGGATATTTCACAAGGAGCAACAGGATTGGCACGCATACTCTACGATGATGCCTCCAAACTTCTGAGTGTCTCTGTAAGTTATCCAAGTAATATTGTGGAATGGGAAGCTACTATATCGTATCCCATTGATTTTGTCTCTCTTCTATCGGAATGGGTCCTAGTCGGTTTCTCAGGTTCCACCGGCGACTTGGTTGAAACACATGACATTCTTTCCTGGTCCTTCTCTTCGTTTTTGTAGAGATGCAGCACAACTAAGAGAAGAGAATAAAGTGCATGTTCAAAGAGCCAAGCTCTTTTCTGGTTTAATGGATGTTGTTATTGCTGTAATGTTACTCTGTTTTCCCAATAAGTTGTGATTAATAATATATGTTGCATTTGCGCTACTAATAATTCTTCATCTTTGGTGGACACATAAATCTGCTTATTTCTCAAAATTATTAAGTTGATTTAGTCATCAAATAATATTTTTAATATTAAAATAATTTAAACGTTACAAAATACTAATATCAAATTAATATAATGTCATGACAAAGAATTAAATATTCGAATATTAATTTAATATCATTTATTTTTTCAAAATTAATCAGTATTTCAAAATTTCAGAGAATCAAATTTACTATAAAATAATTATCCAGAATATAAAAAAGAAAAATAAGGGAGATAGATTAGACGAGAAATATAAATTTGTCATAGTGCTTGAGAGAATGAAGTCACCGGAGTTGATTATAACCAATTAAGTGAATTAACCATGAGAATAGTAGGCTATGCAAGATTTAAGATTCAACTTCATTCCACCAATTGACTTCTTGAAGTTTTTTTTTCCGACTCAAGACATCAATGAGTGAATAATAATCACTATACTTAATCCAATTTTTTTAATTTTTACTCTGATTATTTTAAATTTTAATTTTTTTATGCAATGGCTTTATAAATAAAAATGCATAATGTTCCTTATTTATATTTTTCAAGGGATGAGCGGATAACATAAATGGAGTAAGGCAATTTTCTTTGTTTGATTATTTTCAACACTTAAATTGATTTTGATAATATTTGAGAAATGACTTGAAATATACAAATTCATCATTTGTGTATCTATTTAAAAGGTATTAAATTATGAATTTCGAGAATTATTTATATTTACATTCATTTGAATTGCTTTATAATATTTGGCTTGATTTTAATGGTATTCAGAAATTTATGAAATAATATTATCGATCATGAGAAATATTTATAATTTTATGATTGAACATTTGATAAGCATTGCAATATTGGTAAATTAATTTATGAAATTGGAATATATTCTTATGATTGATAATATTTTTGCCTTGAGAATTTATATATTATGGTTATTTTTTAAATTTGTTTTGAGGTATGACTTTTTCAGAACATCAATCAAATAACAGTTAGCCTTGGTGCACCATGACTTGTGATTAAAAGAAAAGCCCATTAGTGATTTAATGCAGGCCATAAGCATGATATTATGATCACATGGCTAGCCTGAGATCAATATGTTACTATTTTGTCTAAGTATCCCGCTTGAACACATATTATTTTAGTAAAGTGGGAATTTCTGAATTATATACAATTATTGGATTTAGCATTATATTTTTTGGATTAGTTGTTTGATTTCATCAACATATTATTTTGATGAAATGACATTTTAAATTGATTTGAAATTTATTGTCTGATTAACATATTAATTTCATATGTTGCCAAGTCGCGCTTGTTAGTTCTCAACTTCTCATTATTTTGTCACCGAATTACATTGCAACTCACTAATCTTAATTACATATTTAAGAAAGTATAGTTATAGAATTAACTTCTAATTTCACTCATCTAATTAGATCGTGAGAATCTGTTTGGTTATGAATGGTACTGACATTCATTTCATTTGGACAATATTTATATTTTAATTTGTCTAAAAGACTTATAGATTTATATTATAAAGTCGCTCCATTATTTCTACAAGCAAGTTAATTGCAAATATTTAATAACTCTAAATATGCTTTCATAAAAATTAGACTTATCGAACTAATCAATTGTAAGATTAATATTAACCCGTGTGCGGGTCGTGACAAAAATATCATCGTTTAATAATCTCTAAAAACTGGCATTCGTTGTTCGAAGCAAACCAAATGTCTTCTAATGAAGGACCAAAATTGATGTCCAAGAACATCATGACAAACTTATATCGGACTATTAATGTTGATAGGTTTTTATTCATTGGAAAACTTCCTCGATCTTTTCGCCTAAGTTTGACTAACACCGTGCTAGGCAATTTTGCTGTTAACTTTGGTCAATGTGTTGTTTATTTTCCATAACATCCTTGAAAATTCAAAAGCCTATATATAGCTGCATTCTCCCCATGCTCTATGCATCAATCACAACAAAACCAACATGGCTAACTCGAAGTCAAAACTCCTTGCAACTCAAAACCTCTTCTCTGCTTTCCTAATGATCTTCATATTTTTCCTCTTGCTAGTTACCAATGTCAAATCAGACTCATTTTCTTTCGACTTCCCCAGTTTTGAGCCCGGTGTTAGAAGTATTATCGTCGACGGTGATGCCAATACAACCGGTGGAATACTTCAACTGACTAAAAAGGACCCGATACCACAGCAAAGCGTTGGAGTAGCTGGATACTTTGGAGCAGTTCATCTCTCTGACAAAAGCAGAGGGAGAGTCGCAGAATTTTCCACCGAGTTCTCGTTTGTTGTGAACCCTGCTTTGGGTTCACGATCTCATGGCGATGGGTTCACCTTCTTTCTAGCATCACTAGATTTTGAATTTCCCGACAATTCAAGTGGTGGATTCCTCGGACTTTTCAATGAAGAAACAGCATTCAACACCTCAATAAACCAAATTGTTGCTGTTGAGTTTGATAGCGTTAGAAATGAATGGGACCCCACATACCCAAATCTTCCTCATATAGGAATCAACATTAATTCCATTAGGTCCGTGGCAACTGTGCCATGGCAATTCGATGTTACACAAGGAGAAATAGGACATGCACGCATAATCTATAGTTTTGCCTCCAAACAACTGGAGGTCTTTATAACTTATCCACAGAGTCCTTCCCAATTGGAAACTACTATTACGTATCCCGTTGATTTTGGGGCTCTTCTGTCGGAATGGGTCCTAATCGGTTTCTCTGGTTCCACTGGCGACTTTGTTGAAACACATGACATTCTTTCCTGGTCCTTTGTTTCGTCTTTGTAGAGCAGCACACCTATATAGGAGAACAGAATAAAGTGCATGCTGAGAGAAACCAAGCTCCTTTATGGTTTGATGGAAGTTGTTACCGTTTGTGATGTTTGTAATGTTTCTACGTAAGTGAGTACCTTGTTCATGGGTGATTAGTTATTTTTCCTAAAAATTCTCAAAAAGATTAGGTTTATGCCCTAATCTTGGTGGGATATTTGTGTTTAATCCCACCTAAATTTTTATGTACGAAAAAAAAAAGTTATGAATAATACTTTATTTGCATCTACGCTACTAATAGTACTTCATCTTGGTGGACACATACACTCTATATCGGCTAAAAAAATAACTGACAAACTTATAATATAATTAACTTCCTTTACAATTTCATAAAAAAAAAAACCGTTGTTCTCAATTATAATTATTAAAATAATAAAAATATTTAATATCTTTATAAAAGAGGTCCTATAATATTCTTTTATAAGTCAATTATAAATCAATCAAGTTTATATACGGCTAAAAAATATTAAAAATAATCTACCAAAAAAAATATTTAAAATAAATGATTACAATCGAATCAACACTGAATATACTAAAAATAATAAAAAATAGCCCTAATAACTAAAGAAAAGTTTTAAAACAAAATAATAAATTAAGCTCAAAACACACCAACTTCCTTGATACATAAATTATATATACTTAATGGTGATCATAAATTTAATCAAAATATTTTGAATCAATCCATTAAATATTCGGATCATACCCAGGAGCCAACTATAAATGCATCACTTATTATGTGATAAATATTCCATTTCGTATTTTGTATAAATGTAATTATTTAAAAATTATATCGAATATTAATAGAAAAAAACATAATAGAAAAAAAAAACAAATTTCTTCTCACACAACCAACTATAAATGCTCCTTAATAGCCTTAGATCCATTCATTTTTTATTTAGGGTATCCACTAATTTTAATTGTTTTATCATTTTTGTTTTAATTAATTTAGTAATTATAAGTTATGAAACCTTAAGAAAAAACCTACTTAGTTAAATAGATTAATTGTTAGAGAAATTATTAAACAGTAATTATACTTATTGATTTAATTAAATATTAAGCATAATTGTACATGTAATTTGTGAAAGTAATTCAAGAAAGAGAGACAAAAGCTAAAGTATCACTTATTATAAAATCACCTACTCATAAAATCCCCTAAAGTCAATGAATTTGTATCCTGCATAAGTTGAAATCGTCGTTCTTGTTGACGGGTCATTCTTGTTGACGGGTTTGGGGGATCCATGTGCCAGGTTTTGACACTGAATGCGTAATTTAACTTGACGGGACTGTATGAGGTGCTAACATTGCTGTTGGTCGCGCCATGACGGGACCGGTCTCGTCAAGTTGACCAATGCGTTTGATTGCTGTAGCCAGAAAATACATTTCAAAACAGCTCTGAGTTGGAGAAACTTTTGCCAATTTTTACTAGTACGGTCGTTTTGCCTGATAGAACCCAATAAAGGTTCCGTGTCAGGTAGGAGTGAAATCGTTGACAGATATACCAAGCCCAATGGCCCAATGGCCCATATGTATCCAAAACAGAATTCAACAGAATTCTGCTAACCCAATTGTTAGTTAACTGTTAGTTAGCTGTAAATAGTAAGTTAACTGTTAGTTAACAGATCTAAGTATAAATAGATATCACATGTAACTGATCAATTAAGCTTTTCATAATTCACTTTTACAAATACAATTTCTTTCTCTTTCTCTCTCTGATACCTTTCATGGTATCAGAGCCACACTCGATCCATGGATGTGCAAACCACCACGATTCACACGTTCTCTAATCCAGTATCTGTTAAGCTGGATGAAAACAATTTCTTACCCTGGAAACAACAAGCTTTAGCCACTATCAAAGGCTATGATCTTGACAAGTTCATCACGCAATAGAAGTGCAAGATTTCACACCTGCTGCAAATAACACTACTGGTGAAAGTGTTGAAGGCAATACTGCAACAAGCAATGAAGGCACACAACCTTCAAATGCACAAAAAGCTGCAAATGATCGACAAGATCAGCTATTGATGTCATGGCTACTCTCCTCAATGTTAGAAAATTTGACACTCGAATGGTAGGCTGTTCAAGCTCATTCCAAATCTGGCAGAAACTAGATGAATTTTTTGTCTCTCAAACAAGAGCAAAAATCAAGCAATTGAAAGTGCAGTTGAAGAATTCCAAGAAAGATGGAGATGTATCAACATACCTGCTCAAGATCAAGAAAGTGGTAGACTCCTTAGCAGCTTGTGGTTCACCAGTTGATTCTGAAGATCATATAGAAGCTATACTCGATGGCTTGAATGAGGATTATGATTCATTTGTCACTTCTGTTATTTCAAGAACAGATCCTTACGCAGTTGGAGAAATTGCAGCTCTCTTGATGGCTCAAGAACAAAGGTTGGAGAAGCATAAAAAGAATGTAACAAATACTCTTCAAGCTAATATGGCTCAACTCCAAATGAGAAGATCCAGTAATCCTTCAAGTTTCAGCAGAGGAGGATATACTCAGAATAGAGGAAGGTTTTACGGAAATAGAGGACCAAATCAATTTTACAGAGGGAGAGGAGGTCGATTCAATAATAACAATAGACCTCAATGTCAAGTGTGTGGTAAATATGGACATTTGGCTTTGGATTGCTTTCACAGGTTCAACCAACACTTCCAAAGTCCGAACAGCCAGAACAATAACTCGAATTTGCAGGCAAATATAGCTGTAACAAATCAGAATGGTGGAAGGCAACAAGATGAAAGTGCATCTGATTTCTTTTCAGTAACAGACAACAGTTGGTATCCGGGTTCTGGAGCCACCACTCATTTTACACCAGACCCTCATAACCTGCACAACAAAATACCATACAGTGGTCAGGATGCTGTTCAAGTAGGTAATGGCTCTAATCTAAAAATCAAAAGCATAGGACACTCATTTTTGCATTCATTTGTTAATTCTTCAGTCTTCAACTGTCCAATTTGTTACATGTACCTGGCTTATCTAAAAATCTGTTGAGTGTATCTCAGTTTGCAAGAGAACACAATGTCATATTCGAATTTCATGCTGATGTTTGTTATGTGAAATATCAGGCTACCAAGGAGACTCTTCTCCAAGGCAGACTTAAGAATGGCTTATATGCTTTTGATGGAGCTTCAAAGTCCAAGCATTTTTCTTCTGCAGAAAATTCACATTTGAATAGTCCTATTTCTTCAATTCAGCAAAAAAATTCTACATGTAACCATACTTCTAGCATTTCTACCTTAAGTCTTTGGCATTCTAGGTTGGCGCATGCCGCTCTTGATACTGTAAAGTTGGTACTTAGACATTATAATATACCATATATAAATAAAATTGACTCAAAGCTTTGTTGTGCTTGTTGTATGATAAAAATGCATCAACTCCACTTACCTAATACCGCTACTGTCTATTCTCAGCCTCTTGAACTAATCCTTTCGGACATATGGGGTCCATCACCTATATAGAGCACATCAGGTGCAAAATACTACATAATATTTGTTGATGCTTTCTCAAACTACACTTGGATCTATCCCCTAATAAATAAATCACAAACCTATGAAATCTTTGTTCAATTCAAAACCATGGTTGAACTCCAACTAAACACCAAGATAAAAGCTTTGCAAACAGACAATGCAAAGGAATATCTCAAACTCACCCACTATCTAAAACAACAAGGCATTGTCCAACGTCTAACCTGTCCATATACACACCAACAGAATGGAAAACCAGAGAGGAAACATAGACACATAGTGGAAACTGGATTGGCACTACTAGAACAATCTCACCTACCCCAAAAATTCTGGGAGGATGCTTTCCTCACTGCCACCTATGTCATTAACCAATTACCTACACCCACTTTAAATCAACAGTCACCTTTTGAAACTCTCTTTCACATTACCCCTGACTATTCTTTTCTAAAGACCTTTGGTTGCAGTTGCTACCTTTACTTAAGACCCTATAACAAACATAAATTGATTTTCGATCAGCTAAATGTACCTCCATTGGGTGCAGTACACAACATAAAGGCTATAAATGTCTAAGTCCAACTGGTCAAACTTTCATTACTAAACATGTCTTGTTTGATGAAACTAGTTTTCCCTATCTTAAGTCACCTAACCCCACCTCTATTCCAACACCTACTAGTCAATCTTTAAGTCCTATAATTCCAGTAAGTCATTTAATTCTAGTCATTTCACACACTACTCCCACTAGTCCTTCACTTCCTTTGAACCCGAATGCTACTTTTTCTAATCCTACTATATCTCCTTCCACTAACTCCATATTAGGTCCTCCACCTATTTACTCACCCAACCATCACTTCAACAGTACAAACTTGAGTGTTCTATTGCATGATTTTTCTGTTAGGACCACTAATTCTACTTGCAGGTCCTCTACTGATACACATCTTCCTCAAGCATCTGTTCATCCAATGACCACCAGGGCTAAAGCAAACATCTTTAAACCAAAAGCCTACTTGGCAAGTCTAGAACCTACATCTACAACTGCAGCCATTGCTCAGCCTCATTGGTTTAAAGCTATGCAAGAAGAATACTCTGCTCTCCTACGCAATCACACATGGGAACTAGTTCCTCTTCCTCAAAACAGATCTCACATTGGCTGCAAATGGGTGTTTCGTACAAAGTTTAACCCAAATGACACCATCCTCAAATATAAAGCTCGCCTTGTAGCTAAAGGCTTCCATCAAGAAGAAGGTTTTGACTATCAGGAAACCTTTAGTCATGTAGTCAAACCCACCACCATTCGTATTGTTCTCACAGCTGCACTCTCGAGGAATTGGCCCATTCATCAACTTGATGTAAATAATGCATTCTTGAACGGTGAGCTTTAAGAAGAGGTCTTCATGCAGCAGCCTCCTGGATTCATCCATCAAGACAAGACACTGGTCTGTCGACTTACCAAAGCTTTATATGGTCTCAAACAAGCACCTCGTGCTTGGTTTGAAAAGCTCAGCAACACTCTTTATAGACTTGGCTTCACCACAGCAAAGTTTGACTCCTCCCTGTTCATATCCATTACTCCAACCACCACTCTTTGTCCTAGTATATGTTGATGACATCCTTGTCACTGGATCTTGCTCATCTGCCATCAAGTCCTTAATTCACTCTCTGCATCAAGCCTTCTCCCTTAAAGATCTTGGTTATCTCCACTACTTCCTTGGTATAGAGGCCACAAAAACAGAATCTGGAGGATATCATCTTCATCAGTCCAAATACATCCTTGATCAGCTCAAGAAAGCTAACATGCATGACTGCAAAACCATGCCCACTCCAATGATCTCCAGCTCCAAACTTTCATCTCGTGATAGATCTCCTTATTCTGCCCCTACACAGTACCGTTCCATAGTTGGTGCCCTTCAGTATGCTACGATAACTAGACCTGAAATAACCTTTAGTGTTAACAAGGTGTGTCAGTTCATGCAAAATCCCTTAGACACTCACTGGAAGGCAGTCAAGCGAATTTTGCGTTACCTGAGTGGTACGGTGTCCCATGGCTCAATCATCAATCCTTCCTCTAACTTCAACTTAGCTGCCTACTGTGATTCTGACTGGGGTTTGGATCTTGATGATCGTCGCTCCACCAGCGGCTTCTGCATTTTCTTTGGCTCCAACCTTGTTACTTGGTCTTCGAAGAAGCAGCATGTTGTCAGTAGATCTAGCACCGAAGCTGAATACCGGTGCTTGGCTGCCACTGTTGCTGAGCTCACCTGGATCCAGCCACTCCTTTCTGAACTTCGAATCACCATTCCACGCCCTCCTACCATCTACTGTGACAACATGTCAGCTGTTCTTCTCACCGCTAATCCCTTTTTTCACTCCCGTACCAAGAACTTTGAGCTTGACCTCCATTTTGTACGAGAAAAGGTGTTAGCTAAGCAAATGTCAGTTCATCACGTACCTGCTTCTGATCAGCTAGCTGATGGGCTCACTAAGGCTATCTCCACTCCCTCATTTGCTCAATTTAAGTCCAAATTGTGTGTTCTTGCGTCCAAGCCCACTCAGCTTGGGGGGGAGGGATGACAGATATACCAAGCCCAATGGCCCATATGTATCCAAAACAGAATTCAACAGAATTCTGATAACCTAATTGTTAGTTAACTGTTAGTTAGCTGTAAATAGTAAGTTAGTTGTTAGTTAACATATCTAAGTATAAATACAATCTCTCTCTGATACCTTTCAATCGTAATAATATGAAATTGACATCATTTTGGCTACATTTTTAAGTTTAATTAAATTGGTCGCCTTATTTATAATTTACCACTCTAATTAGCTGTATCATATTCGTTGAAAATTCCATTGTTTATTAATCTTTAAAAAATGGCATACATTGCTGATATGTGTCTAACATATGGTGATTTCTAAGTAAAAGAAGCAAGGAATTAATCATAAATGTGTGAAAATAAGCTCATAAATGCAAGAAATATTGATTATTCCTTCTCAATCATTCTCTCACTCAATTTATGCATTTTGATAGCAGGAAACACCAAAAAGAAGTGAAAGAGAGAAGTTGAAATTGCATAGTCTCGCTCAAAACGTGTGAAAATGGCGCGATCCGCGTGATTTTGGCAAATTACTTTCTGTTTGTCCACGCGATCCGTGCGGATTTGGCGCTGATCGGGCAGGCGTCATGAATGCAATCCTTGATTTGTGGAGTTTGATGAAAATGGAAATTTAATCAATGAGAGGATTATGACCTGATTGATTGGTTGAATTATAAGAAAAATGGAAATTTAATCAAAATTAATTAGAGGATCATGACCTGATTGATTGATGAAATTATGAGAAAAATGGAAATTTAATCAGAATTAATGCAAGGATTATGACCTGATTGAGTAGCTGGCTATATAAAGGAAGCAGAAACTCTAAAAGAAAATCATCTTGGGCTGGAGAGAATTCTTGGAGGCTCACGCTGAAGATCATTCATCTTCTTTTTCTTTTTGTTTTTATGAATTTTATTTTTTTTAAACTGTCAGACATGATTATGTCTGGCTAGTCTTTTTATATTGTGGTAAGGGTCACAACCCTTGATGTGAACCCCTTGTATTTTGGTTAAGTTTATGGTTAATTATTCAATTGAATTTATTTTACTCTGTTTTTCATTCCATGATTCTTTTAGAATTCGCGACTCTATTAGGATTGCGAGGGTTAGGGTTCACAATAGGCATATTGGGATTCTAATTCCTGACAAAGGGTAAGATAACTGTTCATGTATGCACTAGGGATAGGCTACATGAACTGCAAATGTGGAAAATTCACTGGGCTTAAAGATTAGCTTGAAAAGGGATTTCTAAGGGATTAAGATTCTAATAGGGTTAATAAGGTTAAGATCACTAAGGGATTAGGGCTTAACTCATTAATTATAGATGGTGAATTATTTGGTCAATTGGGTAATTAAATATAAATATTAATCATTATTACAAGGTGGGGATCGGAAAGGTGTTGGCGTTTTACTGCAATAGTTTTTCTTTTAATATTTTTCTTAATTCTCAATCTTTGATTTTAATTTCTTCAAATTTCTCTCTGAATTGTTCACGAAATATTGAACGGTTCACAATTGTCACGTTACAATTACTTTTAAAACCTCTTTTGTTCATCCAATTAAGAAAGGGATAGTTAAAATTAGATTTGGTGCCTCAATCCTCGTGCGACGATATCTTACTCACTTTTATTACTTGGTACGATCAGTGCACTTGCCGAAATTACGCAACAAGTTTTTGGCGCCGTTGTCGGGGATTGACTACGCCAATTTTATTTTTAACTTTTGAATTTCTAGATTGGATTTTTTTTTTATATTTTTTTTTTTACTTTTTACATTTTTATATTTTTTTTTAACTTTTTTTTTAATTTTAATTTTTTTTTTAATATTTTTTTAAATTTTAATTTTAAATTTTTTTTTATCTCATTTTTTTATTTTTATTTCTATTTTTTATTTTATTTCTCTTGTTTTTTTATTTTTATTTTTTTTAAAAAAATAAAATAAAATTTATGATGTATTATTAACATCATGGTTGAACAATTTGAAATTCCATTAGAATTAGAGGAAGGATTGCTCTGCATTGAAAGTGCAAAACTTTTTGGGGGTGAATATGCAGAGGATCCTCACGATCTAATAGATAAATTTTTGAATTTCTGCAGTAGCATAAGGCTAGACGGAGCCACTGAAAACTCAATTAAGGTCCACTTGTTTCCCTTATTTCTAAAAGGTAGAGCTAAGACGTGGTTGAAGTCTCAACCTCGACGAAGCATCACCACATGGGAGGACATAGAATTCAAATTTCTAAGCAAATATTTCCCACCATCCAAAGCCACAAAGATTAAAAAGGAGATCGACTCCTTCGCACAAAAGGAGGGAGAACATTTATATCAAGCTTGGGGTAGGCTTCACGAATTATGCAGAAGATGTCCAGTTGAAGATTCTGAATTTGTTCGCATTTTATACAGCGGTATATGCCCACTTTTAAGAATGAAATTAGATCTAGCAGCTGGAATACCACTTTACACTATGGAACCTGAAGAAGTTCTTGATATGATCGAGACAGTGGTATACGACGAATACCAAGCACTCCAGGACCAGCCAATAGTTGAGCAAGAAGCTGAGGAGAAGTCATCCATTCTAGCTCAAGAGAATTATATATAAAATGTCGCACCTCTTCTCAAGCAAGTCACTGAAGACGTTGAGGGAAATTCATACTTGAAGGATCAAGATGTGACAATAGCTACTAAAGAATTCGAAATCGAGGAGGAATCTACTGTAGAAGAAGAATCCAAAGTTGAAAACTATTTTGAAGTAAGAGAAGAGCAAGAAGCTGGAACATATAGAGAAGAGACTCCCTCACCAATGGCAATTACCCTCCTACATTCTTATGATGAAACACTAGAATTGGAGGAGTATAAAACTGAAGAAGATGCAGACTATGAGAAGCTAGAGATGAGATCTTCAAATGAGGAAGAATGCGATGAAGCTAATCTTGTGGATTCAATTCAGGCATGCAGCGAAAGAAGCACTAACACCCTTGGCCCCATGGTAGACATACATGTTGAGCAAGCCTTATGTGATGTTGAGACTAATGCGAATCAAGTGCCAATGACCTTATTAGAGAAAATGGGAATAAGGCATATAAGATCTGCGAAGATGACTCTACAATTGCCCAATCGCTCTATTCAAGTGTTGGTTAATATTGCTGAAAATGTATTAGTGAAGGCGGGCAACTTTGAATACAGAGAAAATTTTGCAGTCATTGATATAGACGTGGAACCTATTTTTGCTCACCTTCTTGAAGAACCATTCTTGGCCACCACAAATGCAGTGGTAGATGAGCTACAAGATGAGGCAATTCACAAGGTGGATGGAGTCCAGGTAAGTATTCTTGATTTAAAAATTAATTTTTCATCCCTTACAATTTTTCCCTCAGATGTACAAGCACAATTTGTTGAAGACAAAGGAGATGGAAGAACAAAGCTCAAGAATCCTCATCTATTAAGAACCAAAAGTAAACCCAAGGTTAAGATAAAGAAATCCAAAAAAATGACTATGACTAAGGAGAAAAAGCCAGCTTTGGTTCTTTGCTATAAGCCACCTTGATCATCTGTCAACGTCAGGCTCGTGACATTAAACAAGCGCTAATTGGGAGGCAACCCAATAGTTGTTTTTCTGTTTTTATTTTATTTATTTTATTTTCTTAGGATAGTTTAATTTTTAATAATTCAAGTAAGTGGTGAAATAGTGACCATATGGAAAAATTTAAAATCTGGGAATTGGCGCTGTCAGCGTCAACTTGGCGCTAGTGGCGCCACAAGACTGAAAAAAGACAGTGAGTTTCGCGCTCACAGCGTGAACTCCACGCTTTCAGCGCCAATGTCTTCACTATTTATCTTGACTTTAGTTTTTTCGTTTTGCTGTTTTGAGATTATGGTTTGATTATTCCCTCCTTTTACATACTGAGTTTATTCTGTTTTGACTGTTTAACAAGTGTGTGTGTGTGTGTGTGTGTTCCACCTGGCAGAATTAGTCCTTCGACTAGTATAGTTTGTTACTGAGGACAACAACGTTCTAAATCTGGGAATTGTCGCATGTTGTATGCGAGACTTGAGACTTGCTAAATACTGCGGAACTACACCACGGAAAGGACGTCTAACAGAAAATTTTCTGAAAAAGGGGAGATATTTTAACCTTCAATTTTTTTTTTATTTGTTGTTTTTATTAGATTCAATTTTTTTTATTTTTTTTTAAAGAAAAAGAGAAAATTTTTAGAGAATTCCTAAACAAGCAGTCCCAGATTGTTCTAAGCTTACTCAGTAAGTAATTAGATTGTGTTAGATGAAGCATGATATCTGTGAGCAATTAATTGTTTTAATCTGAGAATGATGACTGCTCGTTTTTATAACTGTTTTGGTGAAATTTTTTGGATAATGCTTGATGTGAAACTTTGAATTGAGATTCTAGTTTGAATTATAACTGTGAGGATTTGAGCCTAAATAGAAATTTTTCTTTTTGAGAGGCCTCACTGTAGTAGTTTCTAGAACTTGAACTGTTTCTCTAGCTTGTATGCATGACTGAAATGATAAGGGCATTTTTATTCTTGACAACATAGAGCCAAACAGCCTACCCATAAGAATTTCCATTGTTAAGCCCCCTTTGAGCCTTAAACCAGTTCATTCAAACCTGATGAAAATTGCTTAATCCTATTCCTCTTGACACACCTTGAGAGATTGAATGCTGATCAAAGAAGAAAAGTCAAATTACTTCTCAAAAAGGAAAAGTTCAGTTGATGAACAAGGAAAAGATAAGAAGTTGAAAAGACTGGTTTGCAAAATATGGCAAAAATGCCTAAAAAAAAAAAAAAAAAAGGAGAAAATTTGTAACTCAAAAGAAAAAATGAAGAAAACATCTGCAACCAAGGAGAGAAAAGGTAGTGAAGAAAGGGAAAGAATCCCAAGTTTGTAAATGAGGCAAAACCTAGAAGAGAAGGAAGTATTGTTAAAGCAGTATTTCAATCTCTCCATTCAGCTTCTGACCAAAAGATTCTCACCCCCAAACCAGGCCAAGTTACAACCTATCAAAGACCTTTTGATCAGTCTATGCATGTCAAATGGATTCCTCATTCTTAGGAATTGAGAATAAGTTCAAGTCTATGGAATTCCTACTACACTGATGGATAAGTGTGAAACCCTTAAACACTGAGTGTGATGAGAGTACATTTAAACTGATGAGGAATATTCAAGCTGGAGTCTAAATTCTTGATATAACTGAAAAACATTGTTGAAAATTTTAAACAGAGAGTTATACATGCATAGCAATCTGAATTCTTAAGATGTTGTGTTCCATGTTTTCACTGAATTATTCTTTGCTGATAACTTGAATCTATTATATTGCTGAGGACAGCAAAGTTCAATTGCCTGAACCAATCCAAATGTCTTTATATTAAGGACCAAAGGTGATTCGAAGAACATATTGACAAACGTATTTTGGACTAAACTTGATAGTGTTTTTTCATTGGAAATTACTTCCTCGCTTTTGTCGCCTAAGTTTGAGGAACACCATATAGGTTAATTTTCTGCCAACTTTGGTCAATGAGTTGTTTATTATTGGTTGATTGATTAAAATGTCGTTATTTTTAAAATAAAATTATCAGTCTATTTTAGTTTAGAAATTGTTTATTATTTTATCTAACGTTGATTGCGTGGGTCCAACTTAAAGTTCCATATCTTGAGTCCGTCGTGCGATTAACTTTGATAAAACAATAAATTAAATCATGTCATGTGTATAAGTTAGAATCTTTTACAAAGCACATAGTAAATTGCTCAAAATAAGATAAATTAAATAATTTTTAAATTGATGATTTTTTAAACAAAGGCATTTTTGTCGATCAGCCTTTATTATCAATTTCAATAACATTATTTGTAAAGAATATTGGGATACACCACTCTAAAAGCTAGCTCAAAAGGTGGGAGTGTCCAAAGCCTTATAAACTCCACATTAGTTGCACATACAACCAATGTGAGACTATATATCTCAACACGTCCCCTCACACAAGAGCCCTGAAGAGTAGACAATGCAACAGGACGACGAGGCTCTGATAACATGTAAAGAACCTTGAGATACACCACCCAAAAGCTAACTTTATAAACTCCACGTTAATTGCACATACAACTAATGTGGGACTATATATCTCAACGTTTAAAACTCAAAAGCCTATATATAGCTGCATTCTCCACTTGCTCTATGCATCATTCACGACAACACTAACATGGCTAACTCCAAGTCAAATCAAAACCCCTTCTCTGCTTTCCTAATGATCTTCATCTTTTTCCTCTTGCTAATTACCAGTGTGAAATCAGACTCACTTTCTTTCAGCTTCCCAACTTTTGAGCCAGGTCTTAGAAATATCATTGTCGACGGCGATGCCAATATAACAAATGGAATATTACAACTCACTAAAAAGGACCCAATACCTAAACACAGTGTTGGTCTAGCTGGATTCTTTGGAGCAGTTCATCTCTCAGACAAAAGAACAGGGAAAATCGCAGAGTTCACCACTGAGTTCTCGTTTATTGTGAACCCTTTAGGTTTACGATTTCATGGCGATGGGTTCACCTTCTTTATAGCATCACTCGATTTTGAGTTTCCAGACAATTCAAGTGGTGGGTTCCTTGGACTTTTCAATGAAGAAACAGCATTCAACACCTCCAAAAACCAAATTGTTGCTGTTGAGTTTGATGGCTTTCAAAATGAATGGGACCCCACAAACCCAAATCCTCCTCATATAGGAATCAACATTAATTCCATTAGGTCCGTGGCAACTACGCCGTGGCCAATCGATATGACACAAGGAGCAATAGGACAGGCCCGTATAACGTATAGTTTTGCCTCCAAACTACTTAGCGTCTCTGTAACATATGGTGGTTATAAAGTGGTACCTGATGTATCATACCCCGTTGATTTTGCGGCTCTTCTGTCGGAATGGGTCCTAGTCGGTTTCTCTGCTTCCACCGGGGACTTGGTTGAAACACATGACATTCTATCCTGGTCCTTTGCTTCGTCTTTGTAGAACAGCACAACTGGGAGAAAAGATTAAACCGCATGTTATTGACAGAACCAAGCTCTTTTATGGTTTAATGTATGTTGTTATTGTTGTAATGTTTCTCTGTTTTCCTAATAAGGATCGGCTTAAAGTTATGATGAACAATATACATTGCATTACGGTACTAGTGATACTTCATCTTTGGTGGAGACATGAATCTGCTAATGTCTAACAAGTTTTCCGTATGTTATCCTCTTTATATCGGCTAAAAGAGGAATAAGGGTCGGACACTGATAATATAACGAGTAAATACTCTTTGTTGTTCCTCAACAAATTTTACTAAGCCCGTTTTAGTCCCTAGCAAATAAAAAGACTCATCGTGTGGTCCCTAAGAAATTTAAGATGAACCCATTTAGTTGAAATCATGATCCTTCACAAATTCGAAAAAGACCCTCACAAATCCGAAAAAGACCCATATTAGTCCTAAAAAGAAGGAACAAAAAGAGTATTTACTCTAATATAATTAAGTCATAACGAACTTCTATTATTACTCTATGTTCGTTTTAACTTTTTTCAATATTTTAGCTTTGTCCATTAATTTATAATTTATCCGTAGCATTTATTTCACTATATTTTATCTAATTTTTGCTCTTAATTAAGTGTATCAAACCACGGTTGATGTCTTAGATGATCAAAATAGTTAATATGAAATGTCAACATTCAAAAGATAATTTAGATGAAAGATTACTGAAATGATATTATTTAATGTAATTAGTAAATTGAGGGATTATAGTGATTAAGTAAAGAAAATAAAGATTCAAATAAAAAAAATTATTAACGCAAAATATATTAGACATGTGTCTTTTGAAATGTCCAATGGGATATTTTGAATATTATAAATGGGAAAAATATTTCTGCAGTTACTGCAGATAAGTTATCTGCATTTCTTCCAAAACGACGTCGTTTTGGTATAGAAATCTTAAAAAATTAAAATATAAAGACCATTATAACCCTGAAATAAATTAAAATTACAAAAACACATTTTCGCCTCAAAACAACGTCGTATTGAGCTTAGTGCAGATAACTTATCTGTAGTATAGTGTAGAAAAAGCGAATCCATTATAAATATGGAGATTAAATGATGTGCTATGATTTATCAAATGATGCATCGTCATATTGTCCACAAAATTTGACCGTATTGACAATAACCTGAGATCTCAAATTCATTAGTTATGTAACAATATATATTGTGGGTTGATAATGTAACATATTTTTAACAAATAAGAGTACGTTAAAATTACATTCTAATATTTATATAAGTTCAAAATTTTCAAGTTTTGCATACGATACAACTATCTCCAACAAAGAAAAATTAAAAGACTGCAATTCAAGGAAGAAAACAATGAATTAAAGAAACAGCTGTTCCCCAGGCTGAGTAGAGCGGGGGAAAAAACTTGAGTTTGATTTTCATCAAGTATATTTTTTGAAAAGGGTGAGAAAATATAATTGTGATTAAGCCCCGATTTAGAATATTAGTCTTACATGTGTAAATAGTTCCGTCTTTAAGCGAAGTTGATTCCGCTTAAACTCTAAATACACATGGTCACAAAATCTACTAAAACAAAAATACATATATGGTTACAACTCACAAAAGGTTTCTAGACCATACTTTTTCCTTTTCGCGTTTCCTGTCAATCCATCAGCAATGTTGGATTTGTATAGATTATATCAAAATGATGGAATATAATGATATAAAATGTTGTTTATTGATATCTTGTTGAAAGATATATGTTAAATACGATCACTTAAACTTGGTGCCACAATATCATTTATATTACACTATACAGTCGGTCAAATTTCTTGCAAATATTTCTCACCAATATCTTCAACCTATACCTGGTCGTTTTCAAAAGTGATAAAGTTTTGTTAACCAACATGTTGTGGACTCATATATTTCTAACATGCGGTAGACTTTCCTTGGTTTGTCCACCTTAATTAATTAGTTGGCAAGTAGCAATATATACGTATTCTACTATGTGAGTTGCATGTCGTATATTTTGGAAATTTATTGTACATTATTTGCTTAGCTGGCCAAGACAGGCCTATATATATAACCTCATTCTCCCCATTGTCTCAAGCATCACAACATGGCTTTCGTCAACTCAAAATCCAACCTCCTTCAAGCTCAAAATCCCCTTTCCGCTCTACTTATTAAAATCTTTAACCTTTTCCTCATTCTACAATATCACAATGTCATGTCACAACAATCAGTACCATTGTCATCATCAGAAACCGTTTCTTTCGGTTTCTCTCTTTTCGAGAAAGAAAATCCAGACATAGTTTTGCTAGGAGATGCCTCAGTATCTGGCAGTGTTCTACGTTTAACCAAAACCGACCAACTTGGAAAACCACTCCCACGGAGTGTTGGAAGAGCAATGCATGTCAAACCGGTGCACATCTGGGACAAAAACAGTGGTGAACTCGCAGACTTCAGCACTGGTTTCAGCTTTGTCGTGAACACAAATGGTTCAAAACTTCATGGTGATGGGTTTGCTTTCTTTATTGCACCGGTTGACCTTGACTTACCCAAAAACTCATGTGGTGGATATCTTGGACTTTTCAGCCAAGAAACTGCATTGGACCCCACCAAAAACCAAGTCGTGGCTATTGAATTTGATAGTTATACAAATGCGTGGGACCCCAATCCACCGATGCAGTCTCCTCATATAGGAATTGATGTTGACTCCGTTAAGTCAGTGACAACTGTGGCATGGCCAATTGATTTTATACCAGACAACGGTGTAGCACATGCGAGCATAAACTACAACTCAGAGTCCAAAAGATTAAGTGTGTTTATGTCCTACACTGGAAGCAACAGGAATGCTACTGTTTCATATGACATTGATTTGAGGACTGTTTTGCCAGAATGGGTCAGAGTTGGTTTCTCTGCCGCCACGGGTGAGTTGGTTGAAACACATGACACGACGTTTCGAAGCAGCCTTGTAGATCCACCTACCCTTAAGAGTGGGAGGAGATCTCTTTTAATAATAACACGACGTTTAATTTCACTATTGAGAATTGTCAAAAAGTTGATTGTATGACTGAATTGTTCCTTCCATTTATAAATCATTTATTGGCATTATTCTTCTTGAGTCATTAGGAAACTCTTCATTAGCAAAACCAGCTCGTTTATTGTGCATTTTTTCCGAAGAAAAAAGTGTTCATAATTGAACAGTTTTGGGCCACACACAAACGACATTACCTTCCAAGGTGATGCCTTTGCATCAAACTGTGTTCTACAGCTCACAAAGATCGGAAACAGAGGCGCTCCCCTGCCCTACAGGCTACGGTGCAGGCAGAGCCTCTTATGCTGCACCAGTGCGCCTTTGGGATGCCAACAAAGGGGAACTTGCTGGGTTTACCACTATCTTCTCTATTGTTGTGGCACCAAATGGCCCAGGACTTTTTGGAGATGGCATCTCCTTTTTCATTGAACCATTCAAGCGTGACATCCCCAAAGACTCAATTGGTGGATTCCTGGGACTCATCCGTGCTGACTCTGCTTTAAATTCCTACCAAAATCAAATAGTGGCTGTTGAGTTTGTTTCTTACAAGAATCCATGGGTTCCAGTCTCCGCACATATATAGGCATTGATATTAGCTCCATTGCTTAAGCAACAACCATACCGCGGAAAAATGGCAATATTGTGAGCCAGATAACAGCATTTGCTACTGTAAGTTATGAGCCTGTCACAAAAAATTTAAGTGCACTAGTAACTTACCCTCAAAGCCAGGTGAATCAAAACGTTTCTTCCAGCAACCTCTTACTTGTAGTTGATTTGAGGACTGTTCTTCCCCAATGGGTTAGGGTTGGCTTCTCTGGCGCCATAGGACAGCTGATTGAAGTACACAAGATTCTTTCTTGGAGTTTCAGTTCAAGCTTCGGTTAGAATTGTGGTAGTGTACCATTAATGGCCAAATAGAGAACAAAAGTTCGTGGCTTCAAAATGACACGTGCTGTTTGATATTGGTAGCTTAATTTGTTCGCAGTGGAATTATGTGATCGTATTTGTTGTATCTTTAACAGCGCAGAAACGAAAATGAAGAGCAAGAACAGTGTTCAGATTCTAAAAACAATACTCCACAAGCAACATTATAAATATTGGTTATAAAAAACCAAACCCTATAAAACCCTATCGCAACACAAAGAAGACAGAACTACAAATCAAGAACCACAAAGATACATCAGCAAGAAAGCAATAGAACAAGAGTATCGGGTTGCATAACAGCAAACCACGCAAACAGGTTGTCTTCGAGCTTCAGGACTCCAAAGCTTCGAACCAAGACTTACCAAACAGTTCCACGATTTGTATCCAAAACGAGTCCTGCATCACACTCAACAAATATTACAAGAACCAGTAACCAAAGAACAAAAGATTGGAAGAGCAAGAATGTGAAAAATGGGTTTCGATGACCTAATTGTTGGGCTTCCTCCTTCAATGCTAAACCCAAGTCTATTGATCGGTTTTTCAAAAATCCTAAACCTTACACCCTAAATTCCAGCTCCTCTATATATTCATTAGTTGAGAGTGATTAGAGATTTGAGAGAAATTTGTTTGAGCAAAGCTTAAAGCTTTATATTTGAGAGATCTCTAGAGAGAGTTTGAAAATATGTTGACATGAGGAGGAACATATTTACTAGTTATATCGTCGGCAATCGACTGAATCTCGAGACGTTCTTCGAACCAGTCATAGACTTTATTGAGATAGGTAAACCAACGAACCCCCCAGAGAACCGTATATGAGAATTTCATCTCGTACGGCTCAAACAAAAATATCCAAATATTGGTTATAACGTAAGGGTAGTTTGATTTTCACTATTGTTGGATAGGTTGAGTTAACCACCACATTGGTGTATTTGATTCTTTGTAACCATTATTTTCATAGTGAATTTTTGATCTGGACTAGGTCTCGTGGGTTTTTACTTCTTCATTGGAGAAGGTTTTCACACGTTAAAAATTGTTTGTGTTCTCTCTCTCCTTCTCTTCTCTCTCTTGTTTTTCGTTTTGATTTTTCCGCTGCGCTGCCCGACATAGTGAAGTTCAGGCCGAGGTATTGCCGCGATCCGAGATCAAGATCTTGTTGATTGACTTCCGCACAAAGGCTGCTTAGCTGAGCTTGAGGGAACCGATTTTTCCCAACAGCAATGTCACGAAGAAAGGGGGCCTAGTGTTCTTTTTTCAGAAGAGAGAGAGAGAGAGATTGATGAATATTTTCGAATGAGAACTACTTACAAAATAAGCTGTGTGTGAACAACATATACCCACATCAAAACTCACCGTATGCACAAAAGGGAAACGACATAAGGCAACGAGCAAATGCAAGCTCACTAAAAACAAAAGTTTTAAACAAAACGCAACACGACAACTTTATATAAAATACATACATCAAAACCATGTCAGGCACGTCGAGGGGAGCCCATGCCACCCGAGACGTCATCAATGAGTTAAGCTAAACCAATTATATCAAGTGAATTTATTATTATATTTCAACCCAAAACTTTAAGATATTAGGTTTATGGATCTTTCTATTTATATGCATTTTATTTAACCTATTATCAATCAATGTGAGATTTATCACACCTGAATATCCTAATAATATCTCATTTTGAAGTGTTAAACTCAATATTGGTATACTCCCCCCAGCCTCCAGCCAAACACACCGCCAGCTCGAGTCAAACTCGACTCTGATACCACTATCAGGTGGGTCGGGGGAAGCCCATGGCAGGAGGCCACCATAAATGAGTTAAGCTAAATCAACTACACCAAGTGGATCCAACAACATGTCTTAACTCAAAATCTTAAAGGATTAGGCTAATGAGTCCTTCCATTTATATATATATTTTACTTAGCTCATTACCAACCAATATGATATTCATTATACTTGAATATCCCAACAATATTTGTGTAACCTCTGTGCACTCATTAATAATAATTTTAATTGAGACTGGATTAGTGTGTGTTAGGTCTCGCACCTTGTTTAGTTTTGATGATAACAAACAAGGGAAGCACCAAATTATCTAACAGTTTGTGTAGTTTTTGAAAAATTGTTTCAGGACTTACTTTGTGATAAATTATGATGAAGAGAATGCAACACAATTGTCATAAAATCGTGAAGATTGAAGTTGCAAGATAAAATCCTAGGTTTCGTGTAATGATTGGATAATGTGAATCCTAATCATGCCTTGAGTTAGAATGTTTAAAATTTTTGAAACTAAGAAAAATATATTTAAAAGTTCTATTTTTAATCCAAATAGATTTTTAAGATTTTGTTTTTAATTTAAAAAAGAAAAAGTTAATTTTCTTTTTTGAAAGATTTGATTTGATTTTATATATTTTTGGAAAATTAATTTGAAGATTTTGATTTTACTCTCAAAAAGATATTTTGAAAAGTTTTCTTAAAAATCATGATAATCTTGGAAAACCAATTTAGTGCAAAGGTTTAGAGATTTTTCCTTAGTAATTGATTTTGAGAAAAAGTCTATAAATATTATACTTTGAGTCTTTCTTCAAATTATGGGTGAGCATTTAAGAGAAAGAGCGCATTGCTCATATTATGAGTATTTTTTTTAATGTGCATTCAAAAATTATTAGGCAACCATGTCATTGAGTCCACAACTTAGGTTTTATTTATTCCTATTTTCTTATTATTTAGAAGCGTATTATATAACCAATTTTAATTGAATTTTCTTCTCGACTTTGGAAAATGTCGTGGCTTAAAAATAAATCGGTCTTTGTCCATTGCGAATAAAGACAATTGTAGTTTGGCTTCAAAGAGTCTTTGATTAGACTCCGTAAATATAACCAATTTTAATTTAGAAGCATATAATATAACCAATTGTGAATAAAGACAATCCTAGGATTAGGGTTCCGAAAACCTAAGATTAGGTTTCAGGTTAATTCTTATATAAGGGTAGAATATGTTCTATTCTTGTACTTCGAATTAATCGTGGTTCATAATAGTGGATTTGTCTCCTAATTAGATATATGTATCCAAATTGGGGTTATAGGTTTATTTTTTTTCCGATTTGAGTTTTTTTCACGTTAAAATAACTGTGTCAGTTCTTCTTGTTACTCTTTTGTTTTATCATAGTTGTGTGTGTTTTTTGAATTGTAAAATTTTCTATAAACTCAATTCACCCTTTTTTTTAGTTGATCCGGGATCATATTTCAATTGAATCAATTGTACTTATTTACTTCAAAACTAATAAATATATGATCGTGCAAATCTTTCTTTACAATTCTTTATACATTGTATATTTGTGATAGAACCCTGCTAGCATATTGATCCTAAGAAAATATGAAAAACCTATTTCGCTTGTAGTTTTAGCAGTTGAACTTCCTATGAATATGTGCAGATTCTCGTACACATGAACATTTGGCCTCAAAAGTCAAAAGCTCAAGCAAAGGATCCTCCACGTACTCATCTATAGCAGCGCAAGGTCCAAATATATGGTATGCGCTAAATTGATTTATCAGATAAACAAGAAGTATTCGATTTGAGACCTGGCAAATTCTCAGAACTCATGGCAAATTAACATGTTTTATTGATTCTACATTAGTTCCTTTAAAAACCTTGAAAGTTATCCATCGGTAATTACTGACAGAACTGTTGTAATTCCAAGCACGATACACAAGAAGCAGCGTCAAGTCGTAGGAGAAAGATTTTGTTCTTTCTTGGCCTTAACAGCTAGGTTTACCCTTTTATTTCTTTTTCAATTTCTAAATCCACTATCTTATCTTTGTTTAAAAGCTAAAAGATCATTATAATTCAGATCTACAAAACAAAATACCATTTTATTGCAATGTTGAAAGTATTTATCCAGCTAAGGCAGTTAGTCTTACACTAGATGGTGACTGATAAACTTTTAATTTATCTTGTTTTATAAACTAAAATCAGATGAATTATCAAGTTAAACAAGTGAAAACTAGAGTTTTGATATAAAATACATGAACTATGTGATTATGAATTAAATAATATATATATTTGTTATTTTGAAGGAATTTGTTGATAAATGGAAGCAAATATGAATGGATATCAA